AGTTTGCAATTTTTGCATAAAAGCAATACCAGCTGAAAAGTATTTCCATAGCCCAGTTCTGTGTGGAGAGGGAAGGTTTGGAGAGGGTCTTCCAGGTCTTTTTCCAAAGTGGACATCGATAGCTGTTGAAAGCCCTTGAATTCGTCACTGTGTTGAAGGGTGACTGACACCTGCTGCAATCTTGCTCTCCATCTCGCCTAATAATTCCAGAGCCACTTTTTGTAAGTGAACAAAGTAGCCACAGCTTGGTGCGGCTGTTGTGCCGTCAGTGGATGAGCCACAGAGCCACACATTTGGCCCAGTGACTGGAAAACAATCCGAGGCTGGATACAGCTCTCCAGCCTGGCCCCTCTGGAGCCAGCACCCATTGATGGCTGTGCCAGTGGCCCTGGATGCAGGACCCAGAACTGGAATAGCTGCCTGAAGATTAGCAGCACATTTTCTACACCCAGAAATAGGCAAATACACTTTAACAAGTTAAAGTGACTTAAATCATCCCAAACGCCTGTTAAGTTCTACCTTACTTATTTGGTTATTGGCTCATAAGAAGGGAGCACTGATATGTTAAATGTTTCTTAAGCCAAAAAAAAAAGAAGAAAAGAAAAAATATCCATTCACTGCAGCCTGAATACCTTTGATTTATGAATCTCTGATTCATCTTGACAGCTACTTAAAAATTCATGTCAAACTCTGCATTAATCCTGGCCAGAAAAAGAAAAGAAACATGTTAGGAAACCAGAGGGCCACAAAATGCATTTCCCACTGTGGATGTGTTTAATGAAAGACGTTGGTAGCATTTAACTCACCAGAGAATCATCAGTACATGTTAGTAGATACTTTCTCTGTTTGGACTCTACTGAGAAAATGTGTACTTGGGCATTAAAATGAATCTCTAACACTGATGTCTCATGACATTATTTCCCTTCTTTAATTTGTATGCTTTTAATGTATGTTGGAGCTTCTTGTATGAAACTGAGATAATACAAACATTTTGTTATATAAGGGAAAAAAGAGAAATCTATTACTTTTTTTAAATTTATTTTCTTCCCAATACTGAGCATAGTTGAGATTAAAAACACAGCTTAATGATATGATTGATAAATAGCATTCTCTATAATGCCTTGGAAAAATGGTCATAAACTTAGTAAAATGCCTGAAATTGATATACTCCAATAAATAAAAGCAGCTGCTTTCCTCTTGCAGTGACTGTCTTCTGCTTTGCATTTCGAAATGCAGTTTTATTTAGTATATAGCCATGGCAATTTACTTAGTGTCCTGTGTGTTTGAAAGCATCTTAAAAGAACCTAAGCTCACGGTGGCAGAGGTTGGGAGGCCCACTCCCTGTCAGAGGGATGTGAGGAGGACAGAGCAGAGAAGGGAGGCGTGTGGCTGCACTCCTGTTCAGAGCCAGTTATGTTTCCACCATGAACTAAAGCCAGAAAGCTGCACTGTTGCTTAATCAGAAAGGGCAGGTGATGAAAAACAGGAATGAGGTTAAATCTGTGCAGGAGATCACACAGCTTTTCTCCCTCTGTTTAATTACTTTGCTCTTAAACAAAGCTAGGACGTTACTGTGGGGAGCTTGTTTTAGTATTACAAAAATACCGATTTCAGAATTGAGCAAATGAATGTGATTATTTCCTTGCGAAATCTCATATCTCCAGAAATATATTAAAGCTATATTAACCGTAACTAAAGACAATTAAACATGTTGTTTAAGGTTTTCAAGAAATGCAGATTCAAGATAACTAAACAGTTAAAATACTACCTATATTTTCTATTGAAAACAGGTTTTTCTGTGTCTCTTTTTTTGTAGGCTATCAGGTAATATTCATACAGTGTCCCAAATTGTGTTGAAGATGATGTTAAAGGTCTGTACTGGACAAGTCAGTGGGTCTGAATGGCGGGTTTTGAGAAGAGTTGATTAAATTCGTTTCAGTATTTTTGACTGCAGATTTTTCACTGTGGTTTCTTTTTGGCCATGTGTAAGGTTGTTGCTTTGGTTTTCTTGTAGAGTGAACTTAAAATTTTTATTTCCTTTAAAGAAGGGAGAAGAACAAAGGAACCCATGTGGACAGCTAAGCACTGCTCCAGACAATTTGTCTTATTGACTGCAGGAAAATTACTGGCGTGGCACCAGTGCCCTTCTCAGCCACTTTGAGACTTGGCAAATTCTCCCTAGGCTGTTAGGGTAATGTTTGCATTAGCCTTTTGTAATAAACAGGGATCAGAAGAGTTGCAAAGCTAGATTTATCTTGACTGCTAAAGGTGGACTCTTGCTAGAAAAAAAATAAAGGTAAATAGCTGAAAATTATTAATGATTTATGGAAAAGGATCAGCAGAAAGGTTAAGTTTCTGATTGTGGATATCTAAAACTCTTGACTTGGCCAGACTGTTGATTTCCCCCTATTCATTGACAGACCTGTTCATAATCAGGAAAGTGTTACAGTGGAAAGTCTCACAAGAGGAAGAGTGGCAGAGTTTGCACTTCTACTCCAAGACTTGAGAGAGGAGGGTTCGGTTCCCAGCTTTGCAGCAGGTTTTGTGTGTGAGTAGCAGCAGTCTGTCACAGCTATTTCAGTACCTCCAGGCACCCAGCAGAATTTTATAGTTTCCCCCACAATTAGTGTTTTCAGCTGAACACCACCCCTATCTGCTTTTGTATATCCTAAGTCCTGCTAAACACCTTCTGATCTTTAACGTCCAAACATATTCGAGAATCTGGTTTCTACCTCACGGGGGTTTTAGTGAAGAAATGTCTGAGCTGGGCCATGAAGACTAGAACACAGTGCTGCCCTGGTGAAGCTTATATTGGATACCAGCTTGGAGAGAGGGGGATGCAGCTGGAAATGCAAGTCACCTCTCACACCTCCATTTCTGGCGGAGTGATCCCTTCCCACCTCCACAAATGTCCCGACACAGGCAGCGCTTTCTCCCCCTGCCAAAGTCAAAATACAGATAGCCATGGAATTAAAAACATGCTGGCTGATTTCCTGGGATTTCAACTGAAATTCTAAAATCCCACCCCAGCATTGCTCTCTGACTTCAGACACCCCCAGTGCCAGTTTGTGATCAGTTAATATGCTGCTGTTTCTAGCATGTTTCTGCATTACAGTACATCCTGTTTGTCCTTAGCTGCTTAGTGCAATTCAGGATTTGACTATTACAAAACATAGTTTAGGTGTAAAAATAGTCTACATGCTTGTTCCATGAAGTAGAACAGAATATCCATAATATTAAACCATAAAGTAGAGATAGTTTATTTGTAAGGCCAGAAAAAGCATTTAACGACTTGCTGAATCCCAAATCATTTCATACCATGTATTTCATGGACACAGGGGACATAAAATTATGAAAAGAAAATAGTTTCAGCAATGTGTGATGCAAGTAAAGTCAAACAGTGCTGTATGGAAAGGAAAACTGGTGCAGAGTCGAGGACAGATTGGTGGAGGGCCCTGTTCACAGGGTCATGGCTTTAGAAGGCTTGGCAAGTCTGTAGGAAGTCCTTGCTTCATCCCATTAGTGGGATTTTGCTGCCTCAGCTGCACTGACTTGCATCCTTGTGGGGCCGTGCTGCAAACTGTGTCAGAGGCTTATCTGGGCTGCTATAGCATTTTTTTGTGGAATTAAACAGTGCTCTTGACTTTAAACTTGTATCAGTTGGAGAGTCCAGCTCCCAGCAAGGGCTTCCAAATGCCTGTGTGGGCTCAGGCTGTGGGGAGCTGCTGGGGATATGCTGAGCTTCTCTTGCCCCTGCAGCTTTCTTCTCTTGCCAGCCTGGGGTGAGGGTAGCGATGCTTTGGTGTGCTTAGGTTGTGAAACCATGTGGGAACCTGTGACTGAAAGTATTTCTGATCTGAATGCAGAGTTGGGAGGGGCTTCTCCGACAGACTCATGACCCTGCAAAGTGGCCTGTGATAAACATGTACGGAATGTTGGATACAGCACAGCTCCCTTTCTGCAGTGTTTACAGCAATATCATCTAGATAAGCCTCAGTAGTGCTAGAAATCTGTGTTTATGTCAACCCATAAAACACATTTTATGTATCACACCAAGACTAGTGTATAGAAACAGGGTGAACCTTCACCTGATCCATCTTCTTACTTCCTTCTTGGTAAGCAGCTTTCTTGTTAGTGTTTTGACAAATTTAGACAAATTAGAGGTCCAGACAATCACCAACTGTATGAAGTTTAACAAGGGCAGGTGCCTGATTCTGCATCTGGGATGAGGCAACCCTGGGTGTATGGACAGACTGGGGAATGAGAGGCTGGAAAGCAGTGCTGGGAAAGAGACCTGGGGATCCTGATTGATGGCAAGTGGAATATGAGTCAGCAGTGCCCTGGCAGCCAGGAGGGACAACCATGTCCTGGGGGGCATCAGGCAAAGCATCTCCAGCCGGGCGAGGGAAGGGATTGTCCCGCTCTGCTCTGCACTGGGGCGGCCTCACCTTGAAGATTGTGTGCGGTTTTGGGCACCACAATATAAGAAAGGTATTAAGCCATTAGAGAGTGACCAGAGGAGGGCAACAAGGATGGTGAAGGGCCTTGAGGGGAAGCTGTGTGAGGAGTGCCTGAGGGCACTTGGAGGCTGAGGGGAGACCTCACTGCAGTTACAACTTCCTCACAAGGCAAAACAGAGGGGTAGGTACTGATCTCTTTTCTCTGGTGACCAATGACAGGATCTGAGGGAATAGCATGAAGTTATGTCAGGGGTGATTTAGGTTGGATAATAGAAAAAGGTTCTTCACCCATAGGGTGGTTGGGCACTGGAACAGGCTCCCCAGGGAAGTGGTCACAGCTCCAAGCCTGACAGAGTTCAAGAAGTGTTGGGGCAACACTCTCACATACCTGGTGGAATTCTTGGGGTGGTCCTGCGCAGGGCCAAGGGTTGGACTCCTTTTGGGTCCCTTCCAAACTCAAGGATATTCCGTGACTCTACGATTGCCTTTTGGTGATCACTTGTTTTACTTAAAAGTTCCTTTTCTCTCTCTGCCTGATAGGTTTAGAAGATGTTGTAGCAATAATGATTCCTGAACCCAAAGGAAAAGAGATAGTGAGCCTCCTGGAGAGGAACATTACTGTGATGATGTACATAACCATCGGGACACGCAACCTGCAGAAGTACGTCAGCCGGACCTCTGTGGTGTTCGTCTCCATCTCTTTCATTGTGCTGATGATCATCTCGCTGGCGTGGCTGGTCTTCTATTACATCCAGAGATTCCGCTACGCAAATGCCAGAGACAGAAATCAGGTGAGCAGGGCTGGAGTCACTGTTTTGTGTTTCTAAAAGATCCCTGTGGGGTTCAGCTTAGAAGTAAAAGTTGAGGAAGTTGTGAACGTGTGGAAAAAACAGACAAACCAAACCAAACCAAAACAAAAAAACCCCAGGAAAGTTAAAAGAAGATATATAGAGATATAAAAACTTCTGTGTCTGGGAAAAGCCAAGACTTCTGTCAATATGGATGAGATTCAGGAAAAAATTAATAATGTACATATAGCCAAGTGACATAGCAATGTGTATAACTAGCAACCCTTGAGATTACAATGATGACTAAAATACAAGAGAGGTATGTGAATGTCTGTGTGTGAAATAATGGTTCACAATAAATGAGGAAAGAACAGAATGTGTTTTCATTTTCATACTTCTTTAGAAGGGTCTTGGGCTTGAAAGGCAAACATGTCCATCTTCATTTAACAGTAATCACTGAACATATAAGTGCTGTAATGATAGCCACCAATGTTATTGAATGTTATTATTGCTGTTGGGTTTGGCATCTTGTCCAAAACCCTAGAAAGAGATAAAAAACCTGTAGGGCTGGAGAGAAGTCAGCAGTGGGAATGAGCCCTGAGCTCTGAATTTACTAAGTACTGTCCATCTTTACGGTAGTTCAGCAGGGAATAATAATAGCAATGATAATAATAAATTTAATCTGTTCTTGTCTGGATACAACTATCTCAGCATCAGCAGAACTGGAAAGCCGAGGCTTCTACATTTCATTCTAATGGTACACCAGAAAATGTTATCAATGTATGAAATCTGAGGAGATAACCATTTTAATGCAGGGGAAAAATGCACTGTAATTCAGAGAGGTTTCTGAACCCTCAATAAATTACTTTCAGGGCCAGGAGGGTTGCCTTGCTTATTCTGCAGAAAAGGTAAAGCTGAGAGTGTTAATAGTCATCTTGTAGAGAAAACTGCAGCCACACACTCTGTAACATATACTTGATTATAGGAATCCCTTGCCCTCCCCCATTGAAATTCAGGCATCCTCTGAGACAGAGTGCAGCTGCTCTGTATTTACAGACAGAAAGAATATATTTTCCTTTTAAATATACGGTCTGAAATTTTGGATAGCAAGAATGAGACTATCCCAGCTGGATTTTGAACATCATTGGCAGCAGATTCGCTGTGACTGTAACGGCTGTTGCGATTTTTAGATGCTTTGTCTGCAAAAGCACATGGCTGCCTAATTTGTGTGTGTTAGTGCGCTTTCAATCAAGTAATTATACAGGCAGATTAGCAATCTAAATAGACATACATAAACATAAAACTCAGCAAAATAAGAAGCTCATTCAGGTAATATGAGCTTTTATATCAGGTAATATGATAGGTTTATATGTTCAAGCAAATTTTCTTTTCAGTGTTTTCTTTCCAAAGTTTGAATGAGACTAATGTGTGCACAAGCATTTGTCCTGTGGAGAGGTTTTAGTAACTTTTATATCTTACTACTTTTGTTCTTTGGAAGAACAACAACATGCCTCCTGAGAATTATTTTTTTTTTTTTTTTGGCCACAATTGCGCAATATGAGACAAATTAGAATCTCTGCAGGCATTTTCATCATACAGTTTTGTCTGACATCTCTTCTAATCTGTTTCTTAACTCTTTTCATATGAAAAATGGCAGCAATATGCAAAGCTCAACGATTTGTGTTAATGCATTGCTGTGGCTTGTTTGTTTTATTCCTTTTAGTCCTGGCTATGGAATATAATGATGTAGGTAGTTCAGAAGAGCTCATCTTGCTCTTGGCCTTGCCATGAGGGTTCCTCCCTGTTTCCCATAAAGTTCTACCTTTCTTCTTTTCTTTAACACATTTTCTTGTAGCACAAGGATGGGATCACAAGTTTCTATGTTAATATCTTGGATATTCAGATATATACGAAGAAAAACTGTGTGGCTTTGCTGGAGCAAAGTTCTTCTGTCACTGCACTCAAAACCTTTAACCATTATAACTTGCTGTTGGTATGAAGGTGTTGTGCTTACTTGTTGGAGAGCCTAGTGTGGCTTGGAATCACCTTCATTGTTGACTAACTTTAGAAGAGATGCTTTCTTTCTATTTGTATTTGATGTGTTCAGGCTGAAGTGTATCCACAGGCTGAAATGTTTGGATAAACAGAGCATTAGGGGAGCTAGCTGGTCTGTTTGAGAGAAAGTTGTGCTATCAGTTCCTACCCCACAGTGCGATGAATTTTCACTGTGCACACTGACTGCCCTGTTCTCAAAGTCTGAAAAGCTGTGACTCATTTATTAGACTGCAGTTAAAATAATAATTTTTTAAAAGTGTTTAATTTTATCATCTGAAAAGTCACACAGTTTTTAAAACAAGGGTTCATGAGGCCCTATGTTTTCTGTGTCAGATAAGATCCTATGCCTATCTCTTTGCTAACCTGTACCTTGCATGGCCTTCGGAGGTTTGGCTGATACTGAATTTGCTACCGGGGCAGTTCAGCCTCCTGTGGGTTGGTAGTATGGGTACTGTGCTGAGACAGTGGTGTCTGCAAACTATGACTGGCAGAAAAAATTGTTCTCTCCAACCAGGAGAAGTGTTGCACTGTTAAATAAGCAAGACGTCAGGACATCTTTCCTTGGTTTCTCCAAGTCTTCCTAAATCATTTACCATTTTGCCTCTTCCAAGCTGACTCATTGCAACTATGTCTCCCTTTCATGAAAAACATTGTGTGTCCTTTTGCTGAGCCCTTTAACTACCTTTGTCTAGTCCTCTTATATTTGGGGACCCTCCTTTCCAGGCCCACTTCCCTTCTTGCACACAAGCATAAGTTTCTGAGCAAGCAGTAAATCCAAAGGGAACTGATTTAGTTATCCATCAAGAAAGCAATGAGTTCAGCTAGCAAAGAGCCAGCTACAAATATGGTTAGATAGCAAATTTTAGTTTAATATATTTAATATTTAAGAGTACCTCGAGCACAGACAACTGTACAGTGCGTATGGAAGTAGAAGATAGGTAGTAATATTCATATGGATGAATGTTTTTTTTCTGACCTAACAAGATGTCCAGGAAGGTGGTTGCCCTGATGATAATTCTTTTGATATGAAGAGGATAGATTTGTATAAGCAATGCATAGGCAATCTGTTTCTTCAGTAGCTTCTTCCTAGAGCCCTCCTGACGATGAGAGATTTTGTAAAAAACTGTGAGAATTGTTTGCATCAAGAAACATCACGTCGCAGAGCTAATTAGAAGCAGTTTGGAATTACATGACAATTGCAGAATCAAAATCACGAAATATTCGAGTGCCAGAGATAATTCAGCAGAATGTGACTTGCTGTCACAGCCCTGTAGCAGCCAGGACACAGACTTAACAACAATCAAAAAAGAAAAAATCAACCCTGTCAGTGTGTCAGATTTCATATTTCACCATTAACAGTAGAGTTCTCTTTCTGCTGTTTGTCAGGTGGGAAGATGACGAGGGGATGATGTTCCAGTGCCAGACTTCTTTACCGTGTCATTACCAGACTTCTTCCATGTCATTTTTTCCATTGGCTTCTTTTTAAGAGGAGTCAATGAATTTGAACAATGATGTTCAAAGTGATTTTGAAACTGGGTGGGCTTCATTAATTTAGCAGGACAGTGGAAGCCAAAGCAGGTAGTGATTGCACTGAGGTTTGGGAGGATCCCGTGCATCCTGGGTTAATCTTTAGTATCTGACTGTTAGTGTGTGGAGCAGTTATCTGAGAAGGAAGATTGGCTGTGGCTTTGAGAGTTCTGGGCCACTGAATAGAAACACGAGTCTTTGAAGCAGTTTTGGGAAGATGCTGCCCACAATGGAGTCTGCAAATTTTAAATGTGGATGGGAGATGTGTCTTATACCTTCTCCCAGTGATGTGCTTCATTTTGCACAAGGCACAAGGTGATCTCCTCCTTGAAAAGGTGATAGTTTAGTAAGGATGTTAAGAGAGAAAAACTTGCTCTAGTTTTTCTTCTCTAGCATTTACGGTCATTTACTTTCTCAGGAGCACATAAGTGATGCTTCCCATGCTGCTGCCCTCTCTCTTTAACTAGGATCCCCATTTCCACAAGACCGCTGCATCTCATATGCTTGACTCCTTCCAGTCCAGTACTGAATGTTGCAACCATGCTAATGAGATTATGAGATTTATGATTGTAAATCTCTAAGCCTCACTTTAAACCCTTCGACTATTGTAATGCCTCTTAACTTTTAGGAGAAATCAATGGTTATTGATAGCACACCTTGCATTCAAATGGGAGAATACTTTGAAAGTATGCCTTTACTGCAAGATACTCCTGTTCTTTGAAAAACTAAATTACTCTCATTTGCATGTGCCATGAACTTTTCTATTTATGATAGATAAGAGAAAGCAAACATGAAAACAAGCAGATCAAAGGTGTACATGAGTTTTTAATCTTGTCCTTTCCCCTTCAAGTGTGCGCAGAAAAGAACTGAGACATTTCATTCATTTAAGTAATAATAGTGATAAAAAAGAATCACAAGCAATTTCTGAAACAGGACATAATGGTTCTTGTCTTGCTGTATATTATCAGTCTGTCTTTGATTTACATTAAAGAACCAAATAGCTGGCAAGAAATGTTTCCAGCTCTCATCTGATCCCTTTATTTAAGGGAGACTGTGAGAAAAATGGACCACAGAAAGAGATGTTGCAAAATACTCCCTCACGTGCAATAATTAGTTATGCTGGAAAGCTCATATATAAATCTCATATGGTAGTCAAGATTGTTTTCACCTCTTTAGCCAGATCTGAAATTGCCCTCTGCTTTCAGTATTGCATGCGTTTTGTCAGTTTCCATGTCTTTCCAATCCAATAAGCTTGCTCTCCAAATTTAATTCAGTGATTTTAATTGAATCTGAAGAACAGTGGGGTAATTTATTAGTCATATCTGTATGGTGATTAGACCTACACTTACAAACTACCTCCAGCTTCTGTCTGTTTTTGGCTTCTTGCTCTCACTCCCTCCAGCTGGAAACCCTTCCTGCTGACCAGTCCCTCTGAACTCTAGCACAGGCAGTGTTCCTAGCCAGGAAAGTTGAATGTCTTCTGAGTCACCAAAGGCCCTAAGTCTCTCTCCTATCTAACAACACATGGCTAAAAACATGGATGGGGAGAGGAGGTGAAGGGAAGAGTTCAAGTGGTGGCAAATTGGGATGCGCTGTATTATGGACTCTCACAAAGCTGACAAGAAGACATTGGAGTAGGTGTTGCTGCCTCGAACTGTATGAGAGAGGCAGAAAAAAAGTGGGAAGTGCCTGGGAGGAGGGTCACCACTATGGTCTGGGGACAGGAGCATATGGCATCTGAGGAGAGGTGAAGGGAGCTTGACGTGCTAAGCTGGGAGAGGAGCAGAGGAGGAAGAAGGACTCTGCTTCCAGCCTTCAGCTGCATAACGGGTGGTCAGAAAGGAGTCAGAGTCAGCCTCATCTTGGAGGTGCACATTGATGGTCACAAATTACAGCGAGGGAAATTCCATTAGTATGTTTAGAAAAGAAAAAAGACTGAGATTGGTTAAGCCCTGGAACAAATTATCCACAGAGGTTGTGAAATCTCCCTTCCTGGAGATATTCAAAACTTGACTGAACACAGCTCTGACTTTGATGTTGACCCAGCCTTGAGCAGGGGGCGGCTGGGAGTACATGACCTCTCAAAGACTTTTCCAGCCTGTGAGTCTGTCTGCAGATGGCCTTGTTCATGGGCTAGCACAAGTGAGCAGCCAAGTCCTTGGAGCACTGATACAGGCACAAGTTCCATAGCACAGGACCGCTGAGCAGTGGTTGTATGAACTGCCCTGCAGTGTTCACAGCCTCTTGCAAGGGGCAGACGTGTCCATCTTCAGCGTCTGAGAACAGGGTGTTTTGCATCAGGCTGTTATTACGTACTTTAATCCTGAGTGGCTGTGACCGTGCTAGCACGGTAACGGTGTTTTGGAAATATGGGAGAACAGTCAAAAATGTCACATGGTTACCAATTTGTGGTCCACTGAAGGGAAAGATAGAAAGGGGAAGAATTGAGCAAATGGTTATGTACGGATAGGATGTTACTGCAGGCCTATATAGTGCTTTACCTGCAAGTAAGCTGCAGGTGCTTTATCCTCATTTTTTTACTTTGCATTGCTTTTACAAAGTAGGCAACTCTGCAGGAAAAAAGAACAGAAGAGACTTTTCACAGTTTTTTGTGGTTAACAAATTAACAGCTCATTTTCAGGTCTTACATTTTGCTGAAGATCATGAACTAGTAATGGAACAATGTAAGAATAAAGGTCAGTGTTCACTCTGCTTACTGCCCAGTTGTTTTTTTTTTTAAGTGTCATTAAAAAAGGAGAGAGAAGAAGTAGGATACCCAAATAGTGGACTTTTTACATCTGTTGCCACTCACTGCTGTAGTGCAGTGCCAGGAGGGGCTCACATGTGATCTCCATTGGAACTCTATCAGAGTAGCTTTGCCTCATCTGCTCTGGGTTACCAACAAGCCTAGAACACCTACTGTGGCCTTACTATGAACTACTATATTTATATTTATACACTCTCCCCTTCCATGTACAGTCATTTGCAATTATTAAGAAGGGTGGGAAGAAAAAGGGATGGTTTCTGCATGAAGAGTTGCTCTTTTCGTAAGATCAAATTCTGTATTACAGCGCCGGCTTGGAGATGCTGCAAAGAAAGCAATCAGCAAGCTGCAAGTCAGAACCATCAGGAAGGGTGACAAGGTAATTTTTTAAAATGCTTGTTACTAAATGAAACTCTGTGCTGAGGATTCCTTCAGACCTCTGGGACAACTAGGCAGAACAGAAATGGCAATTGCTTATTTAGCTACTGTGTCCTTCAGGTGGGGGAGGAATGCTGGTAAGCAAGTTATGTGGGGAATGGAGTAGAGAGGGTGATTCAGTAAAGATGCAAGAAATCCTTGAAGTTAAAACACACTAAATCTGCATGCTTCCCAGTGCAAGTTTCTAGCTGGAAACATGTTGGAAAATCTGACTTGCTGGTCTTGAAATGCATTTACTGGATTTGCAATCTACTTCAGTGGCTGTTTTTACTTTGTCACATAGGCTCTTGTATGAAGAGATTAGCTAACAAAAATACAGAAAAATGAAAATTATTAATGTTCTCTTTCCTGCAGGAGACTGAGCCAGACTTTGATAACTGTGCTGTTTGTATTGAAGGCTACAAGCCCAATGATGTTGTCAGGATATTGCCTTGCAGGTAAGTTGAAGTTGCTTTAGCTCTAATAATCTCTCTACTTCAAGACAGTCTCTGTTCTCACAGTTTCACACTGATGAGATTTCCTGAGAGCTGGGGGAGGGAAGGGTGAGTTTATTATTTGGATCTTTGCAAAATCTGTTGGTAAAGACATCTGAAATGCCTCTTTATTCAGCATGAAGTGAAACAGGTATTAATGGTGGTAGGACCTTGAGGGTTTACTATGACAGTCAGAAATTTTGTCTGATCTGGACCTATTACAAAGGTCTTCGGTAGGATTTTTACACTAAAGGTTTTGATTCCTCTGTTTTCCTCACTTTTTTTTCTTAATCAGTCCAGAATAAATGCCGTAGGAGAGTTTGCTTCTGACTTCAAGGTGAGCCCTGCCTACAGCAGGCAGGGGATAGAGCAAGCTCCTGCTCTCCTTGGAGCTACTTCCTTTGCTGTCCTGGGCCATGTTCAGGCACTCAGAAAGGGATGACTTTGGTCAAAAAAATCCCCAATCATACAAAGAGATACACTGAGTAGAAACAGTAAAGAAAGGTGAGAAGAAGAGCTTTTGGGTTTATTCTTTCTCCTTTTTTCCCCTCGTGTGAACATGCCCTGTGCAGAACTTACACTCACAGTGATGTGGAACAGGAGCAGAGCCTCTTGCCACCCCTAACAGCTGTATTCATCTTTGTGCTATTGTATTGTCGTCTGTGAAGTGACATGAAGGATTTCTCTAAGGAAATCAATTTCGTAGGAAATTTCTCAGGACCACTGGTTCCTCCAGGAGAGCAACAGGAGGTGTTTGATTTCCCTAAACACAAGAATCTCAAGTGCTGTACATACAGAGCAGAGGGTTTTATTTCTTAATAGAGCTTCTTTCTTCTCCTGCATCATATTCACTGGCTTGAGAAACCAAAATACTTGTTTATTTTCCTGCTATGTTGTCCCCTAGTAGATATTTGAATGTTACAAGCTGTCCATCTCAGTTAGTTCATGCAACTCATTAAATCTGTTTACTGTCATCTCTAAGTGGCAAACAAAAAGCAGCGGATTAATCATAAATTTGACCTACTGTAAATCCCCACAGTGACATATCACATGTGAGCTCTTTTTTTGTTTTACAAACAGACACAAACACATCCTCTGGTGAAGCAGAAATACAGAACAGTGAGAAATTACCAGAAAATGTGGACCTTGGTTTGACATCAAGCCTGTTTGCATAGAGGCAGAATAAAGCGTAGAAATTTTGCGTGTTAGAGACAGGCAGTGTTTGGAGGTAGTTATACAACATCTTAAAATATGTCTAAGCTTTAGCTTTCACTTGTGTGTCACCTCATAATTCAATAAGACTTTGTCATCCACAGCGTTGAGTCAAGCAGAGTGGATAGGAAACACATAGTTAACAGGTGGTGTTCGATTCTTGGCTGACTTAAAAGGTCGCCTAGAAAATGACTCATGCTAAAAGGGTAGAAGCCGCAGAACTGTCTTGTAAAATAGTCACAGTTTGAGCCTCAGCAGTCTGGAATTATAAAAACTCATCTTTCTCAATCAGCTACTTCACAAACCCTGGCTTCCTGGCTACACAAGTTGTGAGGGCAGTGTTTTGCATGTTCGCATGCATTTGAACTCCTGAAACATGAAATGGTAGTCATGACTCCTTCTGCTGTTGACAGTCTTGTCTCCTCATTAAAAAAATAAATAAGAAAAGAAGAAAAAAGATTAATTTCTGTCTCTGTGAAGTGAGTAGGAGTGTGCTATATCTTTATAAAGACCTACAAACTCTGTAGTTTTCTTCCTCCAGCATCCTCAGTTAAACCATGTGAACTTTCTTAATGTGGGAACCTCATTAGACTGCTGTTTAATAAGAGGCTGGCATATCACCAAGCTTGCAGAAGCCAGCACCATATGACACCAGTGCTGACTAACTGTAGTGTTTCTATCAGAGATGTAGAAGGTTTTATCTGCAAAGCAAAATACACCCCAGGAATTGTACATGAAAGGTGCTGCCCTGTACTGCAGGTAGTACTGGGAAAGCCACTGCTGGCAGGCACGTGCTGTATAAAGCCCTGTGTATCTTGAGATTTCTTTTAAAGACACTTTAAGACTTTGTAAGAGCTGGAATCTCTTAAGAAATTGGTACCAAAAGTCCACCAGCTGGTATTGCAGTGGATGAGCTCTGAAGTCAAATAGCTGCATGTTGACTTGGACTTCGGCTGTTTCCCCAAATGTCCCGTTTTCTGCTGGCACTGGGATAGCCTGTTATGTACTCCATTCTGAAAAGCTCAGAGGAGAATTCCTGTGAACTTGTGCTTCTTCCTCTCTGTCCTCTTCAGGCAGCTCCCACAACTGACTGTATTAATAAACTTCACTCTACAGAGTGTATTAAATAAATAAGGAATGACACTTGGTAAAAAAAAAAAAAAAAGAAAAGTGTTGACTTGCAGCTGGTTTTATGTTTAATGGTAGCAAACATCACTGAAGTTGTCTTTGAGGGCACTGACACAAGATCTCATGTAACCAAGTTCGTTGTTCCCAGAGTGACATCTCTTGTCACAGCCCTGGTTCATTTTGCTTGTCCTCCATCTCCAGCTTCAAAATGCCATTGCCTTTTCTGCTCTGGCTTTGGAGAAGTTACTGGTGCTGCTGCCCCCAGTGCAGTGCCTTTAGTAAACTTCTACAGAGAGGCAAGACATTTCTTTCAACATTAGCTCTGCTGAGTTCCTCATAAGCTTTTTTTTTTGGCTGTTTCATTTCTCTCACTAATAAACACAGCCTCTGCCCCCATTCCAGCTCATTCTCTTCCCCTGAACCTTCACTCTATGAACAACTGTGATTTCAGAGTCCGCTTCACTCCTGCTTTCTCTTTTTATTAACTTCCTTCGAAAATTATTTCATAGCACACATTCTTTACTTTGATTTCTTCCTCTCAACCTCATCATCTTCTTTTATCCTTCCTTTTACCTCAAAAGTAAACAAATAATACCCTAGATGCACCCCTAAAAGCTCAGACCTTTGCTTTAGCCCTATGTCTAATCCAGGCAACTGATACTCTTCCTCACAGTCCCTAGGGATGCAGAGATGAGACTAGGATTAGAAGGCAGAAGAAGAACAGTTTCCCCTAACCTGGAAAAAAGACTTCTCAAAATTGTTGGCAAGCTGAAAGCTTTACAACAGTTGTACTACAATCATCATTATAATTTGGGACTGAGCTCAACATGACTTTTTTTTTTCTTGTGTGATTAAAATTGCAGCTTGAAAGCAAGCATAAATACATTTCAAACAAAAGTAATCGCCAGTTAACAAACATGAAGTACTCCTTAGATAATAGTAAATGGAGTGCTCTGGGATGTTGAGGTTCTTTTTCTTTGTGCTCTGTGAACCCTGTGCAGTCACAGAAGAGCGCAGGAGGGATCTCAGGAGGCCACCACCTCTGGAACAGCACAGGGACTCTGGCACGCACGTGTCATTCTTGGGAGCTTTTTCCAACACACTCTGCAGTCTCCTGGGATGAAGACTGCAGATTCCCCTGATAATTTATTGCAGTGCTTTGTTACCCTGACTGTGGTGAAGCCTTTCTTATTGTGTAGCCTGGATCTCACTTGCTGCAGTTTAAACACATCATTGTGCCTCTTATCCCTCAGAGAGGTGGAGAGCAGTTGTTTCCTTTCCCCTTATGAAAGCCTTTTGTATGACGTTGTTGCAACATCTCCTCGCTTTCCTCTCTGACAATTAATCAGTTATAGTTCTTTTGAGAAACTTTTCAACCCATCCCAATCAACACGGTTTTGCAATGCATGTGGCTGCACACAACAGGGAAAAAAAACGCAGTATTTTTTTCCAGGTTTGACTTTGATTGTCAAAGCCATGTCCTGAGTCTGTACTTGGAACAACATCTCTCTCTTTAGTGTCTCCCTGTATGGGTCATTACTTCTGAACTCATCCGTGATGCCTCTGTCCTCTCCTTCCATTTAAAACTTGCATCAGCCAGAACTGCAAAGGGGGAAGGGTTTTTGTTGCAGTTGATCTTTTCACATCTTTATCTTACCATGTGATGGTGAAATACTGCAGTTGCTCTCTCATCTTACCTTGTGCTTACCCTTAATTTGCCTGAATTTGGATAATGAACTGATCAGGACGTCACACAATTGACAATTTGTTAAAAGCCATAAGCATGTACCTAGTGGTATAGCTAATAGCAAAGAAAATAAACTTCCAAATCTGCAAAGCCTGCCCCTGTGCTTCTCTTCGCAAATGTTTGTAGGTTCAAAATAGATATTATGAAAGCTGCAATTGTATAATGCAGTACAAAAATTTTAAAAGGCAAATCTTTATCTGATTTTCAATAACATTCCATTTTTCTATAGACTTCTGTCAAATCAAGTTCCTTCTGTTGTGCATACTAAATCTGAAATTAGTAGATTCGTAATAGACTGTGCTACATTAGTATTGAGAAGTGCAAAGTGACACAATCTGTCATGTATTTAAATTACTTGGCATTGTTAGGACTTATTTTAGAATATTGTTTTTGAAGCCAACTTCAGGAGCACTGAACTTCAGTTGTTAAAGTCTTTAAGTCACAAAAGTTCCGAGCTTTTGGTGATGAACAAACATCACAAAATTCTGTAAAATGAACCCCAGTTGGACTGAGGCTTTCAAAGCTGGAACTTGAAAACAAAAAGAGATTTTCTAGTCTATAGTAAAATGTCTTAATAGAAATTATGTATTTTTTTTAATCCAAAACAAATTTTGGAATCTGGGGTTTTTTCTGAGAGAATAAATATCTCAGATTTTGTAAATCTACTGATTATTTTGGCACAAACATGCTTCAGATGTTTGCCAATAAACATATCTGTTTATTAATTTGATTATATAATTAAAGAAAACCAATCACTATCAAGAATTTCATCATTACTTCAAATAGCTGAAAGGCAAGACATTGACTTTCAATACCCTCCATGAATTAACACACCCAAGAAATTCTGTTGGTCAGACAGATGTAAAATTACACATGCCTGAGAACTGTAAGCCTTCCCCTCTTCAGAATGCTTGTCTGATGATGCACTGAGTATGTCCCTCCTAAGATAAAAGGAAGGAATTCATATGCAGGACAGAAACCAAAATCTGGTACACTGTGTTGTTATCCATTAAGTCAGGTCTTATTTGGAAGGACAGCTCTGATCTTTATTAGCCTTAGTAAAGAAGTGGTTTAAACTTTAAACTTAATGATGCTTCATTTGCATTAATTGTGTTGACAAACAGGGTCAGATGAGGTTTCACCAAGTTTACTGTCGCAGGCAACTCATATCATTAGATTGGATTGAACTCCCAAGAACAGATTTGCACTTTCCCATGGTTGTGTGAAGTGATACCAAGCACAGGAATGTGATAATGTGCAGTGTAGCTCTGATTCACAAAGGATCCATTTTTTTTCTAGAAGTAGCGAGAAAAAACATTGTAGTGAAAAGAGTAAGATTTCACACAGTTTTGACTTTGAATTTCTGGTATTACTTAGAACTGCAGTCCTCTCAGAAGCCAAACAGCTGCTCTGTGGGTCAACAGCATGTTTGTAAGAGCTGGGGCTACAAACCAGTATTGGTGAAAGTGCACTTCAGTATCTTCCATCAAGCTGAAAGTGCATCTTTTGTGTGAGAGAGGTTGCACCCTAATACGTGTGCTGACCCCCTTCCGCTGAATAAGTGACACTTAAATATTTAACGTTTATCTCGGTACATTAAGTGATTCTGGCTTTCTCAGAGATTGCATTTCCTTGTAGAGGTGGGTGTGTGCCACGCTCCAGGCAGAGCCTTAGAATCAGAATTGTTTAAGCTGCAAAAGACCTGTAAGGTCATTAAGTCCAAATGTAAGCCAGCACTGCGAAGTCCACCACTTAACCATATTCCCAAGTGCCACATCCACATGTCTTTTAAATTCCTCCAGGGATAGTGATTGCACCACTTCCCTAGGTAACCTGTTCCCATGTCTGACCACCCTTTTGATGAAGAAATGTTTCCTAGTATTCCTAGTAACAGAATACACTCCCAAGAAAATGCAATCTGTCAGTCAGATACAAGCACTAAATATATCTATATTTAATATGACCTGTAGTTAATGATATCAATATTCGTATTTAATATTGATATTTAATAATATCAGTATCAGTTTGTGTCAGGCAATGCTAGAGAAGAAACTTTCAGCTCCTCCACCTGAATGGTGTCTAGGAAAAGTGGCGTACAGCAGCTACAAGGTAGCTGCTTGGCAGTCACTTCAGACCTAGAACAGTATTAGCAACAAGTCCTTCAGGGGTGGCATTGTGTAGGAGCTCTCTGTGATGGGCAGCTTCTAAAGAGCAGGAAAGTCAGAGAGAATGTTTTAAAAAGCATCATCCTGGCTTTTCTGTTTAAATGGAAAGTATCTTTTTTTTTAATTCAGTTTATTTCCTTGTGCCTCTATCCTGAAAAATACTATACTCAATGACTTCACATTTAAATTATCAGGTGTAATCAGGTTTGTCTGTAGAAACATCAAGAATTACTAACATGATTTTTACCTTTACCAACAAGCAGCTTTTGTTTACTGACAGCCTTTAATGTTTAAAGAATATGGGATTTGCTGATGCATTTTGTGTATTTTCCCTAATTCTCTAATTATGTATGTCTTCTATTCCAAACACATTTAAATGTGCACTTGTGCTTGAGATTCTAGAGGAACAATCTTAGTCTTGTGTGCATAGGATCTATAGTTTTGCAGTCTTTGCAGAGGTCTCAAACTGCAAACTCTTTACTGAATTCAGAATCATCTGGTACTAAGTGGTAAATTGTGCTGTGGTGCATTTGAATTAAGATATCCTGGTTTTCATTGCAGGCATCTTTTCCACAAGTCCTGTGTAGATCCCTGGCTGCTAGACCATCGTACCTGCCCGATGTGTAAAATGAATATTCTAAAAGCTCTAGGGATTCCGGTAAGCACATCACAGAGCAGCTGGGTGGAGCAGGAGGGAAACACCAGCTACTTGGGTATATCCTTAGCCCTTTGCCTGTCTGTGCCCATCCTACCCTTTTTGCCATGTTATTGATTTATTAATTGATTTATTAAGGGATGTACAAGCCAAAATGTCTGACTCTACCTTTTTCATGTGCCCCACTTCTATTAGCAAGGAAGAGTGTGTGTTTGGGGATTGGTTGGGGCTTGGGATTTGTGTGTCTGTGGTTGCCTGCTTTGTGGAGCAGAAGATTGCTTGCTGGTGTTTTAGTGGATTTATAGGTTCTTTCACATAGATTTCGCTTGTGTTTTAAATCAGGACTGGATTTATTTATTTAATCATCCTCTCAGTTCCAATCTCAAAGAAGAAGTCTGCAAATAAAATTTTCTCTGCTCTCAAGGACAACTAATTGCTCATTCTGGGAAACCAAATCTTTTTTCTGTCACATTTTTCTTAAAGTCTATCCGGAGCAAGATCTGTACCCCTAATTCCAGTTAAGAAGCATTTCTCCCATGGTGGGCCACATGGCATACAAGAAAGCTCTTTGTTATTTGAGACATTCAAATGTGGTTAGTAGCTGCCAAAGCAATTGCTTTTTTTTAAGTTGCATGTTTGCATTCACATAGTGCATGTCCTGTTTGCCGTACAGTTTCCCAGCTGGAGCTACCACAGAGCTCAGGGGCTTCACTAGGAAGGAGTGAGTCACTCTCTCCCCCTGTGCGAGGCTTGCTACGTGACAGTGAAGTTCAATACTGAAACACCACCAGTTGATGAATTAACAGGTGCTGTAAATACCCTCCCAAGTCAGAGATGGTGACGTGCCAGTTCCTGTACGAAAGAGCTATATAAAGTAAAACAGCTCACGTGAACGTACTGGGGGAGCTGATCCAGCCATTTCCCTGGAGTTCGTTTTCATGGAGACTAGGAAGCAGGTTGCTGCAGAAGAGGGTCCACAGCAAGCAATGAAATATGTTTTAGTTGAAGTGGGCCGATACGTTAATCAACCTCATACAATCCAAAATAAAAACATGCAATGGGAAAAGTGAAGTAGAGCTGTGTAGTTGGGGTAACGTGTCATTACAGCTCGGCTCCTTTTTCTGCTAAACATGTCTTTAGAATATTGAAAGATGATCCAACTGTTCAATCAGTATTTGAGATGAAAGGTCAGAATAAAGGCTAGCTCTACCATTCAGCACCTAGGCTTAAATACAGAATTTTTTCTCCAAGTTCCACATCTCAGTCCACAGGCCTGCCAGTGAGCAGTTAGTTACTTGGGATTTGGACAGTTCCTCTCCATACACATTGTATTGTTCAGTGGCTTCCACACCATTTCTGCACTCACACTGGCCCCTTCACACTTTTGCCCAAGCACTTCGTTAAGGTGCTCTTTATCAGGCTTCATAATCAGGGGATATAAGGCAAATCAGACCACTGGTTTTTGGAGGCCTGCAATGAGATGTTAGAGACTTCCAGAAAGTTTAGTGCTGTGAGAATTTGCATCCAGAATACAGCTCTCACAGCTGACACTGAAGGCTAAACATGTCCACAGGCTTTCTGAGGCTGGGCACAGCAAGGGGAAGGGAAAACATGCCCAGAGGCCATCTGGGGAGGTTTTGTTTTACATGACTGGCCTTTACTGTATATGAACAGCTCTGGAGTGGCAGGTATAGAAACTAATTGCCAGGAATAATTGAAGTGCCATTCAGTTTCCTCAGCCATCATTTCTCTTCTCACAGCTCCCTGTTCTCTCTGTACCACATAGCAGAAAGGCTCCTGTCACTGAGAGCTTTCTGCCTGGAGTTTCTGTGGAAATAATTGTACTGGGCATGTAATTAAAGACACTGCTGTAACATACATGAACAACTGGTTCAAATTAAGTTTTCCAAGTCAGCCTTAATGTTGGTCTGTCTTAATGCTAAAAATAAAACACTTGTATGGTAATGTTCCACTAGAAAAGTTTGTTTAGGGGATTTTATTGTATGAATTTCTGTAAAAATTTCCTTAGGTTGTTCTAAGACAACAAGCTGAAGAAGAGCCCCCTACATCTTTTGGAGAAAGTGTACTGGCTCCCACCTGCATGGATTATCAGTTAGGTTCATGAAGGGAGAGCCTTACCCCTCGAGGTGACTTTCAGTAGGAGCTGTTGTCCATGGGAACTTTGTGTCAGATGTCCTCATTGCTTAGCCACATATCTATAGGCTGCTGTGGGAAAAAAACGTTCCCTCAAAGCACTTGTAAAGCTGTAAGGCTTCCCGGTGAGAAGTGGCAGACATTTCCATAGAGTGGATAAAGCAAAATGTCACTCTCTAACCACATTCTTGAGTCTTGCTGAGCCACCTCAGGTGAAATTTCCACACACAGAAAAGCAGTGTTAGGCAGTCACCAGTCTCTGATGGGAGACTTGAGTGCAGATTTGCCCAAGTCCTTTTCCAAGCTTTTACAATGAGAGGAATAAGGAAATTTTACCACAGGCAGGGCTATGGTGTTTTTTTTCCTGCCAGCTGCATGTTTGTCCTATGGTTGTTATTAAAGACCTGGCTTGTGTGACTGTGGATATATTGTGCTTCATTTCACAGGAAGACTTGGGATTTTCCAGGAAGGGATTGGTTAAAATCCAAGTGCCTCAAAGTTTCAGTTCAGTTCACATCTAAACTCTCCATTTACTTTGTAACAGAGACTTCAAATATTATCTGCCCTAAACCCAGATTCCCCAGGCAGCTGTGAGACACTGAAAGGCCTGCACTCCTTTTCGCGATAGCTGAGCACCCAAACACCTTCACTTTTCTCTGTGGCACTCTGCAGCTCTGAAAGATTATTAATTGTTTATCAGCAAATGGTTGGTCTACCCTTTTCCACTCTCTTTGCTGGTGAATCCAGATCAGACTATACCTCTTTCAGCTGTAATATTTGAAATGGATTATCAGCGAAAGTGTCTTTCACTTCAAATAGCCCTACGTTGCTATTGGGATGATCATATCATAGTTTCCCTTTGCTTCTCCCTCTTTTCTGCAAAGATCTGCTGGATATGCAGTCAGCTGCATTTTTGGCAGCAGATTGTGTGACTTGAAGCTGTTCACTAAGAGCCTTAGCCAAGCCCTCAGAAGTCAATACAAAACCTTGACTTTAGTGGAATTGTGCTCCCAAAGCACTCACATGCAGGGAATGAGTGAAACCAATATAATTAAACTTAGCAAATGTATCTGGGTCACTCTGGCACCAAACCGTAATGTGGGGGGAGGGAGGGTTTCAATCAGTATTTCATATCATTAGTTTTGTAGCATGCTTCTTACTTTGGGGCATTTTTTCCAACCAAAATGATTCAGGAGTAAAGGGATTAATTATATCAAGCAAGACTATTTTTACATCTTTAGTGTTTTATTTGGCTTTCAATTATAATCTCCTCTTTTTAAAGGTTTAAAAGTTTGTTATAAAATCCTGTTGAAAAAATAACTGGCATCAGAGCAAAGGACAAACAACTGATCCCCTGAAAAAAAATGAAATACTTGTTCATGTAATAGAAAAGAAAAACAGACCTTTTTTTTTTTTTAAAGGCACACTGCCACCAAAGGCAAATTTAAGTTAAAAATGAAATTCCAAAAACATTTTTTTATAATAGCTAAGAGTGCTACATCTAAGGGATAATTTTGGATCCCTGTCCTGCAGATAAGTGATTTCATTTTAAAAAGTACAGGTTTGGTGAGTTTCATTAAAACCTGGTACAGCTGAATGTGCCTTTATCCCAATTCTGAGGAGTTCTTGCTGCTTGTGGATTAGACTGGAGCCAGGCAACAACAATTCTAATTTTTATTGCAAACTTCATTTTGTGGATATAAGATTCTTTAAATTGCCTGCCTTTTTCATTAGGAATATTTGTGAAAAAGTACTTATGAAGTGGCAACCATGAGACAGGGAATGTATGTGAAAAAGGGAAAACGTGAATTTCCTCCTTCTGAAAAACATGTAAGCATGTGGTAACCTTCTGTGCTTGAATTCAAAGGGATTTCTCTTGTGCTTCAAGTTAAGCCTTTCTTTAAGCCTTTGGTGTATCATATTTTGCTTAGTTTCTTGGTGCCTTCTGTGGGAGATAGGCAGGTAGTGAGATTTTCCGAAGTGCCTTAGCATGTGAGAACTAAGCATAGAAAAAAATCAGATCCACTGAAGAGAGTACATCTCCTTTGACGTTAGCCATCTGGAAGCTGGATTTCCAGTCTAGCAGCTTAAGGCCTGTCTCTGCTTAGTGCTGAGCAGAGGGAAAGCAGAGGGGGTAATTCATACCTAGGGGTATGGGATGAATCACACAGCAAAATTGTCTCAAACCACTGAAGTTAGAGGAAACCTACATGACACATCCAGATTCCTGAAGAATAAAGATAAATGGGAACAACTTAATTTTACATTTCCTAACTTAACCAAGTGTCTGCGTATTGGAGCTCAAGTCTTGCTATGTCCCCCTGTCGTTGGTCTCACTAAATCACATAGCAAGAAAGACCATGAATCAAATAATACTCTTCAAATTCCCATTATTGCTTGTCTGTTTCTTTTCTCAAAATTTTATTTTGTAGGAAATACAGTATTAGCAAGGGAAATGATCTTTTGACGTTTAGAAATTTGTCTTACAAACAGCTTTAGGTTTTATTTTTGCAGCCCACACATAGATGCACCCACAGGCAGCTCCCTTGGATTCTTATTCCAGGAAGCTCTGATATTGGCTCTATAAAATGTATATTTCGGGAAAAGATAATCATTCCCCTTCCTGCTGTCTGTTGACATTTGTGATCTGACTCAGCAATCTGCCTTTGCTGAGCAGATCATATCAATAAATGAGTTACTTTTTTAATGTACACTCTTCCAAACCCTTTTAAAAGTATAAATAAGAATGTTTAGCAGTTGTAGGTGACACAGTTTAATAATATTTACGTGGCATACTTTGGGTCTCTCTTCCAACAGATTGTTTAAAGTACGTGAAAACAGACAAACTCTGTGTGTTTATTCATTATATGTTGCCATTTTCAGTACTGAAATAACGTGAAAAGCTCAAAATAAGTGAGAACAAGTAAATTCAATCCTTTTATCAGGTAGAAGCTCGATTTTCTTTTTTTTTTTTTCTTCTTCCCTCCCATTAGCCAAATGCAGATTGCATGGATGATATACCTCCAGACTTGGAAGGATCCATAGGAGGACCACCAACCAACCAGATAACAGGAGCCAGTGACATAACAGTGAACGAGAGCTCTGTAGCCCTGGATCCCCCAGCACGGACTGTGGGAGTGCTACAAGTCATCCAAGACGTAGACTCCTTTCCCCAGGCTGGGGAGAGTAACTTCACAACAAGCAGTAAGTTCCAATTTCTGGCAGAATTTGCACTGAAAATAAATGTTTAGAAACCCCAATAACAAACTGATCTCTTGAGGGCATTTTGCTGGAGCAGTGGCCCGTACTTTAAGCCCAGCGGGGAATCTACAGGGTAAGTAAATTTAAATATCGTGTGTTCTGCTGTAGTGGATTGATGGTCAGAGTTCCTGTACTTGAAAACCTGAGCACAGTGAAATAACACTGCCTATTTGTTTTAAAAAAAAAAAAGTTAATTTTATATGTTTTCAGTCTGTTCAGTTTTCATTTGTGTAAAGGGGCACCATTTGAACGGGTAGTTCTCAAAATATCTGCATGTCTCTCTGTTCCTAAAAATTATGTTCTCTGTTGAAAATCTACTTCTGACGGTTTAAAAGGAATGTTGTCAGCTGTTTCAAGTGAGGATTGTACCAGTCTTTAACTTCTCATTTTTAGGTAAAATAGCAGATCGGTAGAAAATACCTATCTGTTTGATACCATTTGGTGTATTGTCAAGACTAGTATAGAAAATCATCAGATATTCTTGAAGGGAGGTAGAAGGATGTAACAAAATATAGGTTTGTGTATGGAGTTAGTGTAGATTCTGGAAAAAATTATACATTTTCAACCATTTCTAGGTACTGCTTTGGGCCTGGGCATGAAAAAGAAGACAAGTGGTAATATGATGTGTAAAAGGTAGGAGACAGATGACGGAACTAAGATTAAATGACTTTACATTAGTCTCCTTACTCTGTGGAAAGACTTGATAATCACATTTTCCTTCATATTGCAGCCAGTGTCATGGCAGAGAAAATAACTTGTGCAAATGCTGGACTTGTGACCTTAGACACAGGTGACCCAGAAGTAGATTTTTAAATTCACTTTTGTGAATTAGGTTCTGGTTTGGCCCTTTTATGGTCTAAGTACTGAATCCAGCAAGGGGTGAGTAGAAAGCCCAGCCATCTTCCATGGCCAACCTGTCAGCTGGTGGCATTCAGCTTTCTCAAATCTCCATGAGTCCTGGCAAGAGCTGTTCAGAACAAGATGTTCCTTCCAGTGATTGTTTTTTAAATGCATTTGAGGCTCATTTAAACAATGAAGGAAAGATGGTACCACAGTGTAATAAAGACTGAGACCCTGTTCTCAGCTGTGCCCTCTTAGCACTCCTGAAGCAAGTAGTTCTTGTCACAGATAATGATCCTTGCCCCACTGTTCTTTACAAGGTCTGATATTAAGTTTGGGAAGGAGGGCCGTGGTGTGCCCTTTACACACACAGCTGCATGACACATGCTGGGAAAAGCCAGCAGCCTGGTTCAAAGCTCAGCATGATGGGCATTCCATGCTTTTCATCCCACGATCTTGTCAGACTGAGAAGCAGCTCTGCTGGTTTCTCACCATGAGTAACAATGGTGTTGAGGCTGCCAAGGAGCACCAGAGCTCAGTAACTCTCCAGACACTCTTTTCCCTCCAGGTTTCTTTCCAGAGTCTGCAGAAGGAACAAACACATTTTTAATTCATTTTCCAAGTTGCTAGCTAAGTTAGATAACTGGGTGAAAAACTTGCTCTGAGCCAGCAGAGTACTGCAGGGCCTGCAGAGATGCTTTATTTTGCCTTGTTGCTGTCAGTTTTCCCCTTTACCCTCCATTTTCCCATTTACCTTTAATAACATCAGGCAAGAAACCCTAAGACTGGACAATCCTGAGGGCTGACAACAGAGGCCATGGACAAGGAACTCTCACCAAGGCCAGTGTTGTCCAAGGTCTGTCCTGGCACACAGGCAGCAAACTATGGAGTGTCAGATCTCCATCACATGAAGAGATTTGCCATGTCTGGGGAAGGACTATGAAAAGGGTTTCTCCCTGGTTATTTTCCCTTCTGTCACAGAGGTGGCTGGGGACCCACCGCTAAAAGCAGGCTTTTTCCAGTTGTTTTGTGAGGAAAGAAGAGTCCTGAGGAAAATTCAAAGCACCTTGGGATCTCCCAAACCCAGCTGTGTGCCTGTCTATGCTGTGGTTGCCACATAGTCACTCAGGGAACTCTGATTTGATGCTTGGTTAGCTCTTGGCACTCACTCATCACTGACATGTAGACATGAATCTTCATCTGGATTTGTCATCTCAAAGGGAAATACAATACTTGAATATTCATCAGTGCAACTTTACCTGCTGCCACCTCCACGTCCAAAGTGGTGCATTTTGCAGCAGTTCCCAGAAGCAGCCATTTGGTCCCTTTTTGCAGCAGAGCTGCAGCAAAGAAGAGGTCTTTGGTTGGGAGTTTGGGGCTGAGTTCCAGCAGTGATGGGAATTTGTCTCTCCGGTCAGCTCATGTGAATTTGGGGTGTTCAGGCTCCCTGAAAGGTAGAACTTGGCATCTTGGGCAGCCTGAACTCTTAAGCCAGTGAAAGGGACCTTATATATAGTTGTGGTATGAACCCAAATGCTAACTAAATCAGAGGGCAAATGTAGGCTAAATAACTGGGTCATAGCTGTCATAATAGATGGGACTTTATAGGCACTGTGTCTGTTTATTGTATTCAGGCATTGTATTTCTCATTTCCAGAATCCTCAGTTAGTTACACAACTGCAGAGCTTGCTGAGCGTGCCCTTTGTGTGAACTAGACTGCCTGGGAATTTGTGAGCGATGACGCTGGTTGCTCCTAGGAATCTTTGCTGAAGTTGCTAGGTTCTGGCCTCTTTATATAGCATTAGTGATGGAGCCTACTCCGAGGCTGAATCTGCACTGCAAGGTTTTCTTCCTCTTGTTATTGAACCTGTGCAGACTCCAAGGCTCCAGTGCGGTCTTGACGTGGCATCCTGCACCCAGCACCTCAAATCCTTGCATCCTTCCTTATTCCTCACAAAGTTCAGTGGTCCAGGAGTTGCCTTCTTCTTCCCACCCACTTCTGCAATACTTTTCACTTAATTGTTGTTGCATTCTTTTTGTCTGTTGATTAATCGTTCTGGTATTGTTGTCTTGGTTTGGGTTTAATTTCCCTTTCTGTGTTTCCAGTGATTACTCAGAGCCAGAAGAGCTCCCACAGTGTGTGTCTGGAAGGAGGATGTTTCCAGAATACTGTTCACTTTGGGTAAAATTCCATCTCTGTGGTGGCAAAGCTCCTGCTTACTTCAGTGGGGCCAGATTTTAATTTCTGGAGCTCAGCCAGTGCTTTTCTTCTTACTTCTCTGTGTATGCTCAGCACACGTTTCCTCTTCTTTCCCTCCCTTTTGCTCCCTATGCTCCTGAATAGGTAATGTCTTCCATAGGACTCTGGGAGATGTACTGTACCATGAGCATCTGGATGGGACTTCATTTGGGGGCCAGTCCTAAGGTTCTTTGCTGAACCAAGCATCTCCTGTTTAGTAGCACTTCAAAATGGACCAGCAGTTTCTCCCAGCTGCCTTCTACCAAGATCCAAGCCTTCATCAAGTCCCTTGAGCATATCTATAGCCCAAAGTCTGTTTAGTATTTAGTCTTAGTGACTGTTTGCTCTCTGTGGTGGGGTTCTGTGTAGGATCCTGGGATAGCATCCTGCAGTAAAGTTCTGTTATCGGTTGTTAAAAATGTATTGATGGACAAAGTGAAAAACTGGAGTTGAGGGGAGGAAAAAGGAAGGAGGGAGGATGAAAAAATTGTGTGAAATACCTAGGAGTTCATCTCAGCTGAGTTTACTGCTTTGACCCTGTAACTTTTCAGCTCTCCAAAGGGTATGAAAGAAAATACCTAAGGATCTTCTTCTACAATGATGCATTATAGCAATCTCAGTTCCTAGCTTTTCGTACTGAGTTATGCAAAATGCTAACATTTTTGGAAATTTCAGTGCAGGTGGAATTGCCTGCTCTACGTATGATGTGGGTGTGAGCTGGACTTGGCTAAGATCTGAACTTGAAGAAGCTCTGAGCTAGCTTTGGAGGGTAGCTTTGGGATTTGAGGAGGGCATTGCAATATTCTTTGGGTCAGGCTCAGCTGGGATTGAATGATATGGTTCAAAAATGTAGTTTTCTGGGCAAGTAGCGTATAGATACTCTAAAGGTTGTGTGGTGACCCTTGCAGGTGAAAAGTAGCTATTGATTTTTTTCATATTTTATAGCATCCATTGGTTATTTATCTTCCTCGAGCACTTGCTAATTTCTGCAGAAAATAATGTGCACTGCCCAAGTCTTTGCCCTCTCTTCATAAATCTAGTTTTTCAGTTTAGACAAGCTTTTATATTCTGTTCAGTGGAATGTCTCATCAGAAATCCCACTAGCACAATCTCTGTAGCTAGAGGAAGATCCATAAATAATTTAACTGCAAGCAGGGGCGGGACTTTTAGTATGAAACACCACAAGCTCTCCCCCGAGGTGTCATATCACCTGCTAAGTCAACAGAGCTTGGTGGACTGTGTGGCAGTGTGGGCAGTCTAGAGAATACCAGCAGTTCCTTTTCTGCCTCTCATTTTGTTCTTTCCATAAAACCCTGCCAACGTACAGCTCATCGTGACTGTTAGGACCCTTTCAAATCTCTTTGATAGCACTTCATTAAATCTATTAATATAACTTTTCAAGTAATTATTTTGATCTGTGTATGTCTAAAATGTCTTTTTGAAGAATAATCAGCCTTTGGAAGTGGATAAAAGTGCATGATAAGAACCTGATCCGCTGTTGTCTTGTAACCACTTGACTGTTCCTCCTTGCTATTAATAGTGGGTTTCTTGGGCGGAATGTAAAGGGGGAGGAAAAGGTGGAAAAACTCCCTAGACAGTAGTTAATGCAGAAAGTTATTAACACTTGCATTAGCAAGTTCTTACATGGTCCCAGAGGGAGAACACTGATGGGACCTAGTTAAAGACTGAGCAGATTGGGTCCCATGTGCCTGGCATGTGACATAACTCCTGGTGGCTCTATTAAAAGCTTGTGAGGATGTCGCACTGAACTGTTGTCATGGACTGAAAGTTCCAACGAGCTGAGCTCCAAGATTTGTTTTGAGACTAAGACTGATGCCAACATAGCATTGGTGCTTTGAAAGAG